TATTCAAAAAGCCGAGCCATGATGATATAGAAAAGAATTTCTCTTGACTATTTTTATAGTTCACATAATGTATTTCATAAGCTTAGTCAATTACCAAAATACACAAATTCTGAAGAGCAAATGATTGCCTATATATATATATATATATATATATATATATATGTGTGTGTGTTATTACTTAAACCTTATTTTTAGTGGATACTCGTATTTGAGTAGACACCCCATTAAACAGTGTATTATTTATTTTCATCTATTGACCTGAATATTCAAGAAATCTTATTAGAGAAAAATATGTGCTCTCCGGAGGAATTGAACCTGGATTCCTTGAGGGGAAACCGTTATTAGATCTGACATGCTTTGACCTCTCGATTACAGAATAAACAAAGCTAAATAGTATCCTTAAACACAGATTTTTCTTTAACTCTTTAAAATAGGATACAAAATTGAGCAGACATATTTAACAGAAACAGCAACTTCTAAAGCAAGGGCTTTTTTTTTTATTTATTAATCTAATAGATTTTTATAACTTAAAATATTATTTTTAGTGGATAATCATATTTGAGTAGACGATTCATTCATTTATCAAACAGTAGGTTTATTTATTTTTGTCTACCAGCATGAATATTCAAGAAAATTTAGAGAAAAATATATGCTCTTTGGCAGGATTCGAACTTGTGTTTTCATCCCCTTTCTTTACAAATATATGTCTATATAAATATTTCCCAGTCTGATCATAAGTATATCTGCTTAGTCTGTTTATATCTACTAGCACTTCTATCAATACTGGAAAGAGCAATTTATATTAACTGTGATGAAAATGGAACTCAGCCAACACATTTCCATGAGCCACATATTAATGGTCAAAGAGTCACATTGGCCCATGAGCCACTGCTTTGCCACCCATGGACTAGTCTTTTAAAGTTTTAGATTGCAAATTTGGTAACAGTAATTCTGAGTTCAATTCTTGAACCAGGTAGTACAGTATTCAGTGGAAACATCAAATAAGGACAACTTCTTTTATGTGTCATGTCTATTCAAGACATAGGTGATCATGTCCCTCCACATCTTCTTGTCCTATGTCTAGGAATATCTCTTATCTAGTATTTCTCAGTTACTACAGACAACACATTTTATTATCATCACTATTTAATAAGCAGAATTATTAAGAATTGAAATAGAATTATTCTGTAACAAGACATATAGAGGGAACTGGTTAGGGGCTCAGCAAAACTACGACCACACCTGGAGCCATGTTGACAAGATGTTGACATTCCACACTACTTCAAATAAAAGGCTAGGATGGAAACCTCCACTAATACTGGAAACAGCAATTTATATTAACTCAGATGACAAAAAGAGCTCAGCCAATATATTTCTATGAGTCGCATATTAAAAGTCAAAGAGCCGCATGTGTCTCACAAGCTGCAGTTTGGCCACCTTTGGTATAAGAGATAAGTAAATTGAACATAGAATAGGTTGTGCTAGGGGTAGTTTCACACAACACCACACATTGCCACAAAACCAAAACATTAACCTGAAACATCAAGTCATGTTCTTAAATAGTTTTGTCATATCGAGATTTTCATATGCATGGCACCAAACACATTCAGAAATATCTCAACTGTCAGCTGCATACAATCATTTTCTCAGATCAATGTTTACAAAGACTGAGTGAGTTAAGCCTGTGGGTTTCAGCACATATTTTACGAGGTGGGTGGGTTGTAGCATATTGAATGCTAAATGGTTAAGACAACTATATTTTTATTTCAGCAAAGCTGTCTTTGAGTTTTCCATTGAAACACCAATTCTCATAAAATCACCAAAGTTAAGCAACATCAAGCCTGATCAGTACCTTGATGGGTGACCACTTGCAAGTAGATGGTGTAATGGATAACGGCTCAGAAATACTATGGGTTAATTAGTCAAATTTGTATCATTAAAAAAAATCTTATAATGTAAAAATATTTTCTGGCTTTAAATAACCTGCAAAAGCATTTACATTATTTGGACAGTTATCCTTATCTTCATTGCTATATTCACAACATTTTGACCGTTGTATGCTCCAGCCTTCTTCAGGAGTTTGGAATTTCGAACCAAAACCTTTATTTCATCCACGGGGTAGATTGTTCTTGTTCCACGTGCCATGCCTCTTTCAAATATCTCAGTGGATAAAGATGTTGGTTAGAGTCAGTGACTAGACTCAAAGAGTTGTGAGTTCAATATCAGGCCACAAACCAAAACTTAGAGAGTTGATTTAAAGGGAAATAACTGAGGCATTCAGTAGCGACATGGCACGTGGAACTGGAACAATCTACCTTCATGGACGAAATAAAGGGTTCAGTTCAAAATTCCAATCATCTGAAAAAGGCCATAGTGTACAATGGCCAAAATGTTGTAAATGTGGCAACGAAGAGGAGGATAACAGTCCAAATAATGTAAATAATGCAAGTAATCATAATACCTCATCTCAGAGATATAGAGGCCGAAACATTGTGAATATGGCAATAATGTTGGTTGGTTGGGTTTTATGGCATATCAACCACTGTAGGTCATTTAATGCTAAATTTAGTATATATATATATATATATATATATATATATATATATATATATATATATATATTAAATATATAGTACTATTAAACATATAGCTGGCAACATTATTTTTTCAAAAACGTATAGCTGGCAACATTATTCTTTCAAAAACATTATCAGAGGCCTTGCTGTTGGATGTAGTTTATCGTCATACCCAGCACGCAATATGGCAATAAAGATGAGGATAACAGTCCAAATAATGTAAATAATGCAAGTAATCCTAATACCTCATCTCAAGTATATAGAGAAAAACCTGCAAAAGGTTGATAAACCAAAGAAAACGAATGAATGAATCGATTAAATACTGATTAGCTATAGAGGCATGTCTTTTAAATTTATTTACATTCTTTAGAATGTGTCAAATTAATCGATTTTTTGTAAAAGGACAATATGGATAACGACAAAAAGAAAACTTAGTTGACGTGTTTTGTCATTTGAGGAATTTTATAAAAGCAAATGCATTTGCCTTTATAAAGTTCCCCAGAGGACAAAACATGTCAGCTGGGATAAGTTTTCTTTTTGTCATTATTTATACTCAGGAATATATAAATGTATAGAAATGAATATTAATTGTAACATAGAATTTATCGACCACCATATATCCACATTATCATTTCTTGTTTGTTTATCAAACTCTAGGTATCAATCCAGGTCTTCTTGCCCCCCACTATGGGTTAATTAGTTTGACTTGTGTCACTAAATCATGATTATGTACAAAAGATTTTTATAATTCAAAAATATTTTCTCGTTTTATATAACCTGCAAAAGGTTGCTAATCCGTAAAAAACAAAATCAATCTTTGAGCTTTCGATTCTTGAAGGATTCTTGAAATACCCTTCATTCCAATTTGGTCATTTAACTTCTGGCTATGATAGCCAAGTCGTAAGAAATGATTCACTTTCCTATCTTTGCTTTTTGTTCCTTTGTAAAACAAGGCTTTTTTTTTTTTCTAAGGGATTAAGAGGAATGTAAATAGAACCGTTAATTATCTTATTGCAAACTAAATTCTTTTCTCCTTTTATTCAAGGCTTAAGGGTTAGGGATGGGAATTATGTTAACTGAGAGTTGGGTGGTTCCTTTTTCCTCCACTTTTGGCATCCTTCCCAGGAGGCGGGGGTAATGAAGCCTGTTCGGCATTCTGAACAATTTACTGACTAAGAGCAAATAAATTAAAAGAATGACAAGACCGAATAAAAAAAAAAAAAAAAAAAAAACTTTAAATAAAAAGGAAATAAAAATAATAATAGTATAAATAAAACAAAAATAAAACAAAAAGAAAAAAGGAATTAGAAAAGAAAAATGAACAATAAAAGTTTGTTATTTTTGTCATCACTATTTAGATCATTCTAGAAAATTAGCCATTTTTTGCTTCAGCTTGGATACAGAAGGATGGAGTAACTTGATAATAAAAGGTGGAGATTGAGCAGGGGGGGATAAAGATAGGAAGAGCCTTGAGGGGGCAAAAATAGAGAACAAATTGAGGGGGGCTTTGAAAAAAAGCAAACAAACAGGAAGTGGAGTAAAGTGGGGCAGGTGATGGGAAACAGTGGCAAGTGTAGGACAACGAGCCAAGAAAATTGATTAAGAAAACTTCCAAATTTTCATTCCAATAATTTTTATTTTCCCACGTATATGAGGATACCAACAAAGTCCGTAAAATGCTTGTAGCAGCAAAGTTTCATATAAAATACTAAATTAAAATATTTTAACTAAAAAATTAAAAATCTTTTACATTTTTTTAAATATTAAAATAAAAAAAATAACAACAGTTGCATATTTTTGAATTTGAAATGCTGTAAATGAACAGTGAAAAAAATATTTTGAATTTACTGACTAAGAACAGGTAAATTGAAAAATGACAAGACAAATTAAAAAAATAAATAAATAAATAAATAAATAAATAAATAATGGAGATATTGCATACACGGCCACAGATATTTTAACCCCCAGAACACGGTCTCAGATGAGATTGACTAAGCAGATAAATTAAAAGAATGGCAAAATTGATCAACAAAAAAATAAATAACTTTAACTAAAAAATAAATAAAACAAGAAAAATAGTGTAAATAAAACAAAGAAAAAATGAATTTAAAAAAAATAAAAAATAAAAGTTTGTTATATTTGTCATCATTTTATTTAGATCATTCGAGAAAATAAGCCTTGTTTTTTTTCTTTCAGCTTGGATGTAGTAGAGAACTATTTAGTAACTTGGTGGAGACCAAACAGAAAAGGGTGGGGTGGGGGTCAAAGATAGAAGAGCCTGAAGGGGGCAAAAATAGAGAACCAGTGAGGAGGCCTAAAAAAAGACAAACAGGAGGGGGGGGCAAAAGGGGCTGGGAGGGGTGACGAGTGGGGACACCAAACCAAGAGGTGGGCAGCATTGTGTCTGACAATGTAGAACAAACCATGAGGTGGGCAGTGAGAGTAGGAGAACGAGCCTTCAGTGAGAGTAAAGGAACAAAGTGTGTGGGGGGGGGAGCTGGGGGGGGGAGGTAGATAGGATAGCTGTATTACTGAAAACCAGACATTGTTAAGATCATGAGAGAGAAATTATAGTATTTGCATTAATAAGGGAGTACTGAGTGACCTAGCATCCATCAGAAAAAAAAAAAAATCCGATTTAAGTCACCAGTTACTCATCTAACAAAGAAAAAAAATTAATCTAACCTAGATATATTTTTACAAAGCATAATTGATGTGGGTCACAGAACTATTTACTGATACTATTAATTAAAAATGAAGACTTAAAAGGAGTGCTAATTTAGAAAATAAATAAATATATATATATATATATATATAAATAATTTAGACATATGTCTATTTTAGTTTTAATCCTTTCAAGTCCACAAATTTATTTATTTTTTTTTAAATTAGTCTTATTTTTTCAATTTACCTGCTTAAATAAATTTTATCTTGCCAATAATTTTATTTTCCCAAGTATAATAAACTTGTATAACAACAAAGATTTTCTTAAAATGTTATTTTCCCAAGTATATAAGCATCAAAGTTTTATATAAAATACTATATTAAAATATTATAACTAAAAAACTAAAAATCTTTACATTTTTTTTAAATATTAAAATAAAAATTTACAAAAGTTGCATATTTTTTCATATGGAATACTGTAAATGAGAAGTGAAAAAATATTCTGAATTTATAGAGCCACTGTATAAACATCCACAGACATTTTAACTGCCTGAAGATGGACTCAGATGAGATCGAAAATACTTATAAAAATAAAAGTATAAAAATTATCTGAAAGAAAATTTTGGAATTTTTCTTAAGCAATTTTCTACAGCCACCAAGAAATTAATTTATAGACTTGAAAGAATTAAAACTAAAATAATTAGACATAATATGTCTAAATCATTTAAAGTTGAATAGTGCTTTTACCATCGACACACTCTGTGGCCAACAGGTCCAAAGCGTGTTATATATAATTCTGTAACTTTGCATCATTTCGCCCCCACTCACACACACACACACACATATGCAGTAGAAAAAAAGCGCTGTTAAAATATGATATTGAGTGGTGAGTAAAATTCGAGTTTCTGGGAAGAAAAAACTGATTAAATGCAAAGATCTTTTGTTTTTAAATCCTCATTAATTTTCATGAAGAGAGGAATTTATAGAAATCAGTGTTTCACTTACATGTAGGCAGTTTGGTAAGGAATTAATTGCTGCTAAGAAAACTCACCTGAAAGAAAAAGAAAAATACAATGCAGTTAATATTTAAATAGAATGAGAATTTCGTTAATGGTAATTATTTTGAAAATGTGATACTAAAGGAACATTGGGATGCCGAAAGATGTGTTTTAGAAGCTAAACAAAATATTAATAGATTGTGACAGCTATTAGGGAGATGTGATTAAATATACTTTAATGTTTAAAAAAAAACATTTATTCAATATTATTATTGTTTAGGTAATAAACATTATAACATCGCACAAATAGTTATATATGCATTTTTTATATATTTATAGTTATTTTTCTACTCAAAAACGACATTCTTGTACATGTAGTTATGGATAATAATATACATTAATTACTAATTTCTTTAATTAATATTTATTTGTGACATTAATAGCTATCTGCTGACGTGTTAAAATTATGGAATAATACAATAATAAAAATTTAAATTTCATCTGATTATTTACATTATTCGGACTATTGTCCTCATCTTTGTCACCATATTTATCACAACATTTCGGCCGTTGTATGCTCCGGCCATCTTCAGGTGGTTGGAATTTCAAACTGAACCCTTTATTTCGCTCGCTGGGGTAGACTGTTCTAGTTCCATGTGCCACGTTTGATGGATGTCAGTTATCAGTTATCTCCTAATTTCCCTCTGAAAGTTCTCCACTGCCTTAACCGGGTATTGAACTCACACTCTTTGGGTCCTGTCACTGGATTTAACCAACGCCTTTATCCAACCACCTAAAGAAGGCCGGAGCGTACAATGGCCGAAATGTTGTGATAAATATGGCGACAAAGATGAGGACAATAGTCCGAATAATGTAAATAATATACATAATACCTCATCTCAGAAATATAGACAGATTCATCTCTGATAGATGTTGCAATCTGTAAACAGAGTGGTTAGAATGTTATTCTGACCAAGTGATCCAGGTTTGAATCTCATTAGAGTTGATTTGTTAGAGAAAAATCTGCAATGCTATCAGTCCTGACCTGGCATCTGTTCCACTTTCCCACTACTGTATCACGGCTTCCCTGTGCCATTTCTATAAATATTTTCATGGCAATTGTTCTGATGAGATTTCTTCTTTGGTAACTTGACTTTATGAATTTAAGTGTAATACTAGATTGGCACTGAGGTCTTATGTTACTGTTGAAATAGCTTGATGTAACTGTAAGTTCTTTCTCTTTTTACATTTCATTTATAGAACTCTCTTCCAGTCTCTCTCACTTTCCTGTCAACTACAATCTTCAAAAATTTAAATACAATGTCAATCGTCATTTGCTGTCTTCTTTTAATTCTTTTTTTTTTTTTATCCTGTTCTTTGTTCTCCTCAATAATATTTTCTCCAGTTTTTTCACTCTCGAACCCTTGTATCTTTGTGGTTTTATTGCTTTGTTTGGGGTGAAATGATTATAAATTGAAAACAGGTTACTTCTTGATAAGGATCATTGTTTCATTAGAAACAAGGAAAAGGTTACTGATATTATCAGTCCTCCTATACACTGGACAATCTATGCAGATGAAGAAAAGACCTGAAACAACAGAAATGCGGTTCTACAGTAAGATGGTGAGAATACATTCAACTGAACATGAGAGGAATGACCAAGTTTAGAGAAAAATGGAAACAAAAGGGACCCTTTTACTTAACATCAGGAAGAAATAGTTGAAATTTCTAGGGTCTATAATGAGGAAAGAGGGCTTGGAAAATTTGATACTCCTAAGACAGATTAAATGCAAGAGGGACAGCGGAAAACAACACATAAACTATCTAGCAAATTTGAGTAAATGGATGGTAGAACAAGGTTTAAGAGTGATATCAAAAAGGCAAAATTTATTGAGGAAATTGTGGAGAGCCATGATCGCCAAAGTCCTGAAGGGACATGTTGAAAAATTGGAATTGTGTTTCCAGTTACTCCTAAAGCCTACTTCAACTCTATACTTCTAAAATCTTCGACTAAGCTCTGAAATTTTATTCACTCAGTATTTATTTCTTCTTTTCCCCCAATAGGAGTAGATAGGTATGCCTCACGTACAGTTCACACTCATCCCCGTTTTTTGACAAAGAAGAATATGCAATGTTATTGGCCCTGACCTGGCATCTCAGCTCCAGTCACTTTCCCACTACTGTATCATAGCTTCCCTGTGCCATTTCTATAAATATTTTCATGGCAATTGTTCTGATGAGATTTCTTCTTTGGTAACTTGACTTTATGAATTTAAGTGTAATACTAGATTGGCATCAAGGTCTTATGTTACTGTTGAAATAGCTTGATGTAACTGTAAGCTCAGATAAATTGGACAGTTTTTATATAATTTATCATTCGAAAAGAAAAAAAAATTCAGATCACATAGAAATTGTATAAAAAACTAAATCAAAGCACCTTGTTTGTCATATTTAATGAAATATATATATATATATATATATATATATATATATATATATATATAAAAATTGATTTAAAATATGTTTTTTTAGCTACGGTCCTAACCATGTTTCAAAAATGGAAGCTAATCTTTTAGCTTCCATTTTGAAAATGTGGTTAGAACTGTGTTGAAAAAAAAACCATATTTTAAATCAATTAATTTATAATATTAATGCTCTGTAAATTTACATTGAGCACTATTTTGTAAAAATAAAAATATCTATAAGAACACTAGATTATATATCTTATTGTTCTTTCTTTTTATATATATATATATATATATATATATATATATATATATCTCTATCATGAATTCACATTACCATCCAATGGCCTGAGCAAAATTGAAAATACTAATGTTTCTGTCTTTTTGTCTGCTTTCTCTCAATTTCTAACAAAGTTTTAATAAAAGTAAAACATGTTAGATTGATATATGTTTCCTATTGGTTATCTTATTATGTCAATATGAATTAAAAATGAAATGGAGATCAAATATGGATCGGAATCTGAAAAGATGATATGATAAATAATTAATAAGAAATGTAAGTTCTGTCTTTTTGCATGCATTCTCTCAATCTATAACGAAGCTTTAATAAAAGTGAAACATGTTAGATTGTTATACATTTCCTATTGGTTATCTTATCATTATGTCAATATATATATATCTATCATGAATTCACATTACCATCCGATGGCCTGAGAAAAAATTGAAAATACCAGTGTTTCTGTCTTTTTGTCTGCTTTCCCTCAATATCTGATGCAGCTTTAATAAAAGTGAAACATATTAGATTGATATATGATTCTTATATTTATTCTGTCATCCTGTTGGATTCTGATCTGCATTTGATCTTTAACTTTTATATATAAGTAAGTAAGCACAGAATGTACAAAGAAAGAAAAAAGAAAAAAGTGGAAAGATAGAATCTCCAATAAGTATCGTCAACTTTTGAATGAATTACGTATACAAACAAGGATTGTGGAGAAGTCTACGTACGGCAAATGAGATTTTAAATTAGTCAAGATTTCAGGTAGTTTCTTTTGTAACACACCTGTTCATACTGCCATCCATTTGGAATCAATCAAATTAAGTACAAACAAAAGATCGATGAATAAAGTCTGTAAAAAAAAAAAAAAATAAATAAAAATAAAGAGCTAACTTAAAATCGAGCCTATAAGAAAACAGACACGGGCTAAAAAGTAATTAATTTAGAAGCAGTCAAACAGGAAATCACATACATTACATCTACGTATGTTTACACATAAGCGCAGACGAGATCATGTTGTGTAT